TTCTCTCCTCCCTCCTCTCTCCTCCCTGCCTTCTCATCTTTCTCCTCTTTCCCCCCTCCTCTCTCTGTCTCCCTCGGTGTGTGTGTATATCTCTCTCTCTGTCTCTGATTCTGTCTCTGCTCTCTTCCCCCCCCTTCCTCTCTCACAAGAGAGTTCTTATCATTATCCCCAACCACACAGCACACGGCAAACGTGGACTGGATCAGGGGACTAGCGGATCAGGCAGAGTTGGAGGGGTGGGGGTGGAGGGGTAAGTGGTAACTGCCGTACTTCCACAGTCCCAGGGAAGAAGACTGAACAAGGACACACAGATTGGAGAGCGGGGAGAATGTTCTCTCCTTTTACTAAGACGCATAGTGTGTTGGGATACATGGACTAGACCCAAGAACAAGAGAGCAACCTATTATAATCCAGAGAGTGAGCTGCAAAATGTGGCACAGAGATATGAAGAGGTAGCTGAAGGAGAGGGAAGCGCCTGCAGGGGAACCTCAGCCCCTTGGGCAGAGGCATTTTCCAGTCTCCTTTGAATGTTAGAACAAACAACTCTAAGATAATTTCCTGGGTTTGCTCCTTCCTCCTTCCCTCCTCCCCCCACCAAGGGCCAGATCACGTCTTTCAGGCCCAAGGGATCTCAAAAAGGGCTTTTGTCAAGTTCGGTCCTAGCAATAGAGGGGAATGACCCAAGCCCTGAGTTATGCCCCTGCACACGTTCCCCACAATGGCAAAACAGCAGATATCCAGCAGGGTTCTCTGGAGTGAGACCCGGAGCTAGGAGTTTAAGCAAAAGGGCAACTCTGTCAGTTGACGGAAGCCAGAAGCAAAGTTCAAAGCCTGGCCTGGATTTCCATCTGGAGTGGTCTGTTCCTTAAAAGTTTGCAACTCGGTGCAAAGAAGCAGCCCCAGTGGAGGCTTCAGGATCAATGTGAAAGTCTAGCACTACCATCTGACAGAGAGCTGGAAAACTTTGGGCTGCATATTAAGAGAGGAAAGTGGATTGAAGTGAGAGTCAAGGCAATTCATTATGTTACCAGTTTCTAAGTGGGAGTCGCAAAATGCGAACTGGAGTAGGAGAGGAGAAAGTGGAATGGAGCCTGAATTATACTCCACACATCTTCCTCAGTTAGTGTGTACCTGACAAGGCCAGAAATCCCAAAGGAGCCCGCCAGGAGGTTTAAAGCAAACTCAGGGCACTACCATCTCACAGATTTATGCCACAGGACTCAGAGAAGTGACATCTGGGAGCAAAGTCAAGAAACACTCCAAGAATCCTGAATTTTAAAAGGCCACATTTTACTCACAAAAGGAGGGACTGCTTCTTTGGTCGCTGGTACTAAAACAAGGTGACAAGGTTCTCTTGAAATTACCACAAAAGGCATTATAGTCTAATACTGCCTGGCAACAAAGCTGACCCCTTGAAAACAACCTGGCATTCAGAGCTGCTAATGGTACAAACATTCTCACAAACATATTCGTATATTTTCTATAGATACACATACTATCATCCACATATGGGGTCCCCAGACAGCTCACTGGTAGCTTTCTGTCTATTCTTTTAGAAAAGGCAGAGTAAACCCATTAATAAAAAACATGGACTGGAGTTTTATGAAACCACTGCACTGGATCAGGAACCCTAATTTTTATTTCTGCTGAGTTCCACTGGAGATCTGAGTACATCTAATTGATCCCCAAATGGTCCACTAGAAACCTATGTGGAAGGTTCCGGGATCAAATCCACTTTTTTCACCTAC